TAGCGTAGTGTAGTGTAGTATAGTGGTGCATAGTGTAGTACAGTGTAGTGTAGTGTAGTGTAGTGCAGTGTAGTGTAGTTTAGTGTAGTGTAGTGTAGTCATGCAAACATGTAAAAAATCGCAAAAATATCCTATTACACTCAATCCATCAAACTGTTTACCGGTGACCGATCACCCTTAACAATTAACAATGAAGTCAGTTCTTGATCATCGACACAGGTTTTCTTCTCTCTTTCAGAAAGGAAGAGAGAGAGAGGGAAAGAGAGGAGGAAATTCGATCAGTGCTGTAAAGATAAAAGAACAAGGAATATTATAATGAAAACAGTTATTGAGATATATAGAAAATTCATTTACTGTTATATTGATAAAGGTAACAAACAATATCTAAGCATTACAAACATACCCATTAATTTATTAATGGGAACTTTACCAAATAATAGATCCTAGAAGTAGTATCTGTGAATGGTTTGATATGAAATCAATTTTAACACTAACTTCTTTTCAAGGTACTTTTTGAAGTGATTTAATATGATCCAAATGATTAAATGAGCTGACTTTTAGTATTATAAACCACATGGTCCACTATATCTGACTATGTAAATATGTAGGAATTGAATTGTCCAAAATATAATAAGTCATATAAGTGTATTGGAAATTAAAGTAAACAATAATTAAAGTAATTAAAGTAAACTGTAAATACTACAATAGCAGTTCACCAATAGAGTGAATTTCAACTAATTTTTCTTTGACTTAAAAAATCACTAATCACGTATGGAGTCTTGACATTCCAATTGAACTCTGGTAGGTATTTTTATTTTTAACCTCCGGCTCACTAAATGTGTAGCTTATTCTAAAAGCATACTTAAATTTCAATGACTATGTTGAAATGATCAATGAAAAGTTAATCCTTACTTATGTAAAATAGCTACTTTAGAGCAGAGGGATTTTTGCTAACCAAGGAATATCCATCTAATCACTCGCGAATAAATATATCTTTGTGATTGCAAGCAAAGAAGTAACAAACATTGCTATCAAACTGATTATCAATTCGAACATGTATTACATGATAGAGTTACTCATCGTTCTTCTCTCGATTAACTAAAATTTATCTAAACATAGATTTGGCATAGCTCAACATCACGAACTTACATGAATTCCAGTAATTCACAACTTTTTATATTCTCAAAATTATCAGATGAATTTCAAAAACACTGTTACATGGAAGTCTAAATTAAACTATTGGAAACACAAAAGGAATGATTAATGATGAGCTAAGGAAATAATTCGTTATCAGCAATATAACAGTGAATAAAAAGTTGCAACAAAAAGCAATTTTCAACAAAAATGAAGCAACAATTTGATTTTAAAAGTACAAAGAACATTGATGCCAGAAAAATAATACAAAATTTTCCTAATTTGTTGAAAGCGGAAAAATATTGTCTAATCAAAGTCATAAGGAATCTAAAAAATCAACCATCTTTCGATACATGAACTGGGCAGTTGCTGGATTTCGAAACATATTGCACCATTTCGGATCTTTAAGTTATAAATCTTCTGGTCATTAGCTTTCTGCATAATTCAACCATAAATTGTGAACTAATCGAGCATCCAAGCCAGTAACAAAAGTGCCTGTAATAGAAGTGTAACATGAAAAATAAATCATTCAGTGAATTGGAAATCTTGAATACTAAATATTTCCATAATATATTTTGCCTTTTTGCTCACAAATAAACAAAGCTGCAAAATTAACCATAACTACAGTTCAATTATCATCATCTTCGAAAGATTTGTCGTCAATTTTGTTAACATTTGTGTACTGAAATCTATTAATAATGCATACTACAAAATTTATAGAAAAAAAAAAAAAAAACTGGACGAGAGGGAATCCTTATCCTCTCTCAATTTGTTTTTTAAGTGAAAAATAGGATTCGACCCTTAATAAGGTATCACTTTTAACGTGGTACCAACATATCATTTTTAGAACAAATAAAAATAAAAAAAAATAAAGCTCACTGAAATGCTTGGCACCAAAGATATTTGATACCCTATGTTAACTTGCTTCTTAGTCCTGTCCAAATGCTGTTGAATTTCAAAAGACTTTATAACCATTTTTCTTTTGTAGGACAAAAAAATCAAGCAATGGTGCAAACGTCCCATTCAATTAGATTTTCCTCTTCCTACAAATCAATTTTAACAACTTTGACCTTCCAGAGCTTTTTTTCTTAATTAAGACAAATACTGAAAAGGATTGTTCTGAAAATGCTTAAGTAATTTGGAAAAAAAATACAAACAGTCAAAAACAGATTTAAAGAAAAACCAGTAAACCTTTATCTATCATGAGGCTAATGATAAAATAAACTTGAAGTTGACCAAAATGGGTTCGATGGAAAATTAGGTTTAAATAATCTTCGCATAAAAGCCTAATCATTTCAAATAGATTTCAGAAAAACACACATAAAAAAACAACATACACAAATGAAATGGAAAAATATATTAAAGACCATTCCACAAAAAAGCACTGTAAAGAAGGAAGTCTTGATTAGATAAAGTAAACAAAAATGATATATTTCTTACATATGCATATAAAATTTCTTGTATTGATGGAAATAAACGGTACTATTTAGAGATTTTTATTGGTATGTCATATTTTTGTCGTATTTCAAAATTGCAACAAGAATGAGATACGAATAACTGTTCTATATGCATCGATGATCTTAATTATTAAAGTACGGTTGAAGGATGAGTCTTACTAGATGACAATGATGACCAAGCTAGTACTGGTACTAATCATTAAAATAATCATTTCTGATTGATGATCTTAATCATTATTGCTTGCGAGGGGCAATCTGCAAAAAATTCATTTCATTCATTCTTCTTTTTTCTGATTTTGTTTGCAT